TCAATTAAAAAAAAAAAAGAAAATATTTAAATTAAAACAAATATACTTGGGGAAAAAGTGGGAAATGAATAGGGTAACAAAGTAGGGTTCTTCTTAGTTTCCATTTAACTCTTGTAAGTCAGAAGAGAATATAATGCTCACTCAACTCTCAGCTTTTACCATGTAAGAAACATCAAAGCAACAGGCCGTTCCACGCCCCATTTGGAATAGAAAAGGCATTCAGGAAATAGGGGTGAATGCGAGATCAAGTCATTCTAATTTCAATGTACATACCGCTACAAGAAAGTCAGTTAGCAAATCCCCCTAAGTAAGCCTGCCAGACAATCCTCTAATGTAGACCTCGTTTACAGATACTTCAGTTCATTGTAGTCCACTTTCTTTTAGAGTAGGGCAGTCTGACTTAAACAGTTGCACTTTTTGAGGATTTCTTAATGACTTCGCTTTTCAACAATCTCTGAAATTGTGCAATTTTCACTTGATCGAAAGCAGTCAACGCCCTATTGTTTGTTTTGAGTTGTTTTCAGCTTTATTTCACATTACTGTATAACTTAACAAATCTAAAAGATCATTCATGTTACTCGTTTACTGAAAGAAAGCTATATTTGGTGGGATTGTAAGATCACTGATGTTTATTTAGATTTTTTTCATTCACTGTCAAATACTTTATTTTCGCTTGGAATTATTTTTTGCTATTTTCGCTAGAGGATTGATTCAGTGAAAATGATTCAACTCTCCAAAAATCAGTGAAAATAAATTCCATACAAAACACTCAATAAGACTAGCTACTAATTAATTCTACTAATTCTAGCTCAAAAAAAGTATTTTACAGTAATTGTTTTTTATTGAATCTGCTGATAACACTGGTTATCAAAAGATTTAATAACAAAGTCTGGTTTGCCCTGAGCTCAACATTTTTCTCTGTAAAAACATACCACACGTGTAATGATGTATGTCTCATGTAGTATTTTGGGCATATTTTGGATCAATATATGGCAGAGGAAGTAGGAGTGGCCATTACTAGATGATATCATCATGGCAAAGGAAGTGAGAGTGTCCATTAGTAGATCGCCAAACAAGTTTTGACTGGGTATTTGAAAGAACTGGGACCAACCTGAATGTTTATCCATGCACCAAATCATGCATAATTATTTAGTAACTATTTACAGAAAATACTTAAAATTAACTGTTTTTCTTTTCATAAAAAAAATTCATTATTACATTGTTTACATCGTTTAAATCATTGTTAAAATCATCGTTTAAGTCGTTGTTTAAATCACTTAAAATCATTGTTTAAATCATTGTTAAAATCATTGTTTAAATCATTGCTCACATCATTTATATCATTGCTTTTATGTTTGTTTTTTTTCAAATGAAATAATGCTGGTTGCCAAAAATGTGATCAGACCAATAGGAAATAAGAAATCATGTGCCAAATTAACACAAAACTTTTAGAAAAATACATAAAAATGTATGAAATTTTGCACCATTGTTTTGATGGGAAACATAATGGTGTTTAAAAACATAATTTTTCATTAGTATTTCTTCCCAAAAAAATTCTGTTTAATTTCAACTTTTCTAAATTTTTTTCAGCATGAAATTCTGACAGTTTTTGTAGATTACAGGTTAAAGTCCGAAGAAATATTTACTAACATTTTTCTAATTTCTGCATTTTTTTTTTTTATGTTTAAAATTTCATGTTTGATCTGAACCCAAAAGACTTAAGGTAACAGAACTTTTGAGAATTTTGATTAAAAAGCAAGCAGCCGATAGAACAGGTCTGGGTTGGAAAAGGTGAAAAAAGTCAACAATAATGGCAGTGAGGTTAATGGAAATGCTAATAAACCGGCATAATGTGATAGCAGTCATAGATCGCTTCACCGCTACTCGTCAATACTGGCAGTCACTTGGTGCTTTAAACCACATAGAATACGCTCAAAAGTGCAGTGGTTGAACCCAAAGTTATCAAGATTTTTTTTTTTTACTCCAACAAACACACTTTAATGAGTTTGTTTCGTGACTAAATCATCAACAATTTTGTTTTGTTTTTTTACGCTTCATCAACCGCTACAAATGTATGTGCAGGCAGGAGGCTTTACTGTAAACAGATCAGTTAAACATATCTCATAATGATAGCATAACATCCAGTTAATATGTAGCCAACCGTATTATGACATCATATGTACTGTGTAATCCATGGCAACAGTCAATCTAAATTGTGAACAATAAGGTGAGGGTTACTACAGCTCTGTATCACTTCTAGATTAGTACGAATACAGCTAATCAGAATAACATGACTGGTCATGTGATCATGATACTAGCCAATCAGAATAACACATATAGTCATGTGATCCCGACATTAGCCAATCAGAATGACACGTATGATCATGTGATCCTGACACTAGCCAATCAAAATAATACATTAATAATAATTTTCATGTTATTTGAGAAAAATCAATTTAAGAAGAAAAGATCAACAAGCAGCCTATCGGCTGAGATAGCTCCGCTGTTAGCAATGCACATTTCAATTAAAGAACTGAAGACATTAGAAAATGAACAATATGAATAGTATCAAAGCAATCGAACTTACAGTTTTTAACAAGAAGTCGAAAATATCACTTTTTACCAAAAATTACAAAAATATTCACCCAAATTAGAGAATTGAAGATATCATCACAAAATGAACAAATCTGAGAAAGGTCTACATGTAGTATCTATATATGTAATATCAAAGCAATTGAACTATTGGTTTTTAACAAGAAGTCGAAAATATCACTTTTTACCAAAAATTACAAAAATATTTACCAAAATTAGAGAATTGAAAATATCATCACAAAATGAACAAATCTGAGAGAGGTCCACATGTAGTACCTATATATGTAATATCAAAGCAATCGGACTTGCGGTTTTTAACAAGAAGTCGAAAATATCACTTTTTACCAAAAATGACAAAAATATTCACCAAAATTAGAGAATTGAAGATATCATCACGAAATGAACAAATCTGAGAGAGGTCCACATGTAGTACCTATATATGTAGTATCAAATCAATTAGACTTGTGGTTTTTAACAAGAAATTGAAAATATCACTTTTTACCAAAAATGACAAAAATATTCACTAAAATTAGAGAATTGAAGATATCAACATGAAATGAACAAACCTAAGAGAGGTCTACCCAAGGTACATATACACCAAGTATCAAAGCATTCAGGCTTGTAGTTTTCAAGAAGAAGTTGAAAAAGTAAAACATTGACGCTCGACAAAGTCGACAGCGGAGCTAAAAATTGAAATAATTTAGGAAAATGGTTGTTCAGCTAAACCCTTTGAACTTTTCAGCTCAAATTGAGGAGCAACATTTTACAAATTTCAATTTTTTTATTTTGAACCAAATCAACATAATTTTCTGCAGGTTTTGATCAAATTTTTTTTTTATCAATCGGCGTATTTGAGAATTCAGTGATTTTAAACCATTTTGAATATTCCAATGTATCAGTGACTAATTCAGAAGTCATTGATGAGTGGATGTAATTCCTCCATGGTTTGTAATTTGATGACACATAAAGAAGACAATGGAATACGGTACTATAGTGTCCAAGAAAAACAAAACCAACAAACTCTGCCCAGTTTGATGATCACAACAAGTGAATACATTTTCTAAATGAAATTTACCCAGTACCAATATTTGGGCTTGGTGCATGTAATTCTCAAAACTACCTTGCACACTGTGCATGCTAGTTACACTTTTTGTATTTTAATCCCGGTTTCCTAGCCTAAACATGAAACAAACAGTACCATATTTGGCATATTTATTAGCAGCGCATGCGTAAATTACATTACATTAATTAAATTGTGTAAGTATAGTCAAAATAACTCGTACTTTTAATGCTCAAGTTTACATGCGGTTCTAATAGAGCAAATACAGTAATGCAATGGAAAAACATGAAACAAATTCAAAGTACACACAGTATGGGGAAAATAGGAATTATTTTCTCAATATTCTATACCGAATAATTAATATAATAAGTTAAGAAAGTAAATTTGAGGAATCTGGACACTTTTAATCTTTAGTGAAAAAATTGTTTCATTTAAAAAGCTTCAAAATAATTTTTTTTTCTCTATAGGAAGTGAAACTATCAACAAATTTGGGCGTTTTTTTCCTGATATCACATCACCTTTTGATGCTGCTTTTTCTCCATTTATCTGTGGATGTTTTTAGCATGTGATGCATTAAACACAAATTAGTATACGCTAAGAAATCTATAATAAACCAACTGTAATAATCTGTGTTGAATTCAAGGTGGAATGCAAAGAGGAATTCCAAATTTATTGACAAGAATTCGTTGAACATCAATGTCCGCTGTAACTCATGTAGATAGTATGATTTTCTACACTCAAAATATATATTTTTAGTAAAAAAATAATAATTACAAATTGACAAATTCAAATGCCTTCGGGATGAAGAATAAAAGAAAGAAAACTGCTGCGTTGCGTGTAACGACAGATGTTTATTTTGATGTTTCCAAAATCAAGGCTTCCATCAGGGAATAATCTGGAAGGGGATGGAGATTCCCAGTACTCCGGATCTTTCATCTATCTCCATCAGGATTATAATTCCCCCAAGCAGACCCCGGTGGTCGAAATTTTGAAATAAACAACTTATGTACACGAAATTTAGTCATTTGCTGTTCTTTGGAGATATTGTTATTTCTGTATCTAATCAAAAGACACTTGTGTATCCGTTACGGATGTGGTCATTGCATAGTGTGGGGAATAATGTTTTGTCCAACTCAGAACCCAAATAGATATGCATAAGCTAATTTATGCATACCTTTAATTATTCAGTGTTATTGTTATTTTTTTTGTCATGCCCATTATGTAAATTACTTTATATTATATACTACACAAATTAAATATTTATTGATTGCATTATTCTGTGAAACAAAAACAACAGTTGACTTGGGGTTATTCTTTGACTTTATGATTACAGTGGAAATAATTTTACCTTCAACTCCACACCGCTGCACAGATTCTCCATCCTCATGTTCTGTTCGTATGGAAGACCGTTTATAAATGGCATGTGGATGACCTTTTGGATATGCCGTCCGGTTGTGTAGCGGTTCAATTATGTACTCCTCTGTTGATGTTGAAAAAATTCCTTGCTGTGTAAAAAAAGAGAAGAAATTGAATTAAATTATTGAAGAAGGTTTTTTTTTTCAAAACCAGGGATCATACATGTACCACATCTTTGTGGGATGTAAAAATGTCATAGGTTTTTATTCAGGATGTTTCAAGGATTTTAAATCAATCAAAGGCTTACGTTTCCTCTGACAGTTGTTAATTCTCTTATCAATAGCTCTTACTAGAACCCTGATTGGATCAGTGTTCAGTCTAGACACGTTTCACAGTATAGGTGTTTCTACACTGAGCGTGTTGATACACTATACAATAGACGTTTCAATTTTAAATAAAAAAAAATTCTTACAGGACATTTCTAAGATCTTTGTTAAAATGTTACAAAAATGAAGAGTTATCAAAGAATGAACACTCCACTCCACTCCACTCCACTCCACTCCACTCCACTCCACTCCACTCCACTCCATACTATTGTACTGTAAAATACTTTATTTTAGCTTGAATTAATTTTCACTGAAAAGACTTTTTGTATGTTTTGTGTGGAATTTATTTTCATTGAGTTTTGATGAGTTGAATGTAAAATATAGAAAAAAAGGTATATTGCATCGCACTATACTACTGTATGTTACGCTATGCTGGAGAGAGCATCGACACTTTGCTTCAATTCTTATTACTGTAAAAGGATTAATTATTCACTGGGTTTTAATTTTGCTTATTTCGCTGACTGGAAAATGCGCTAAATTAAAACCCAGTGAACATGTAAAATTTAGCATAGAACACATTATCTAAATGATAAAATCGTGAATTTAAAAATCACTGAATATGCCTGCAATGGTAAATCAGCGAAATTTAAACCCAGTGAAAATTAGTCATTTTACAGTACTACAAGTTTTGTTTCTAATGTTAATAATCTACACTGCTCATGTTCCAAATTGTAAAGCCATTAAGCTTTGAACAAGGAATCTATTTACAAAAGATATACAAATGGAAAATCTTATCACATTTAGGAAAGTTTTTTTTTATGGGGGGGGGGGGGGGGTTATTCCATGTTATAATTGAAGGGACAGTTCTATCGGTGCCATGTCAGATTGAAGGGATCCATCTCATTCTATCCATTGACATACATTTTACACTTTGTTCATACCATTTAAAAAAAAAAAAAACGATGAATAGTTGAAGTGGTCATTAGCATTATTTGTCTCATAATAAACGGTGCATGGCTAACAATGCACGGAATTCCAGAACTTCCCAATACTCCCAATGGTTACTGGTGTCATAGAAGACATAAAGAACATGGCAGTAATTCCACAATTGTTATTTTAATATTCAAAGATATGGCTTTGTTTAGACTCTCCGGGCAATTTTGAAATAGTTGTGCTGCATTCTTCGCATATGTCTATCATTGGTTATTTCCTGTCTTGAGATTATCTGTGTTTTGCGTTCAGAAGTTGCACAGCTCCCGCTTGTTGATTGTTATACGAATCCATTTGTTATAGCATAACATGCATTTTGGTGTATTGTGTTCGATCTGGGTCACATGCGATGTATGCATAGTGTGTAGAAAACATTGATTAATTAATTAATTAATTTACGTACAGAACAGTGAGTGGAATTGTCATATAAGTATTAACACTTTACAGTAATAATACCAGAATTCAAATTACCCAGTAAAATTAACATGCGCACAAAATTCATTCTTATTCCAGATTCTCCCACAAATTAAATAAATATCTAAAATATCTTCAAACGGATGTATAATTGTTATTTGAAACAAACAGAATAAAAAAAATTGCAGATATACTCCAGTGTTAAATGAAGCTAGGAACTTTAGAAATTTTACAAAGAAAAATCTGGTCACAAAAATTAAAATTCCTGAAATATTTAGACTTTTTTTTTATATGTACATTGCATACAACTTTACTACATTCATACAAGTGATTTAAATGTCTGTGACATCATGCCTGTTAATGGATCACGCATTGCAAGATACTTAACCACATTAAAAAACTGTGATAAAGTATGCCCAAGACCAAACTAAAATTCATGTTAAAGAGAAGGCAAAGTTACATCACATGTTGGGGATCACGCTTACAGTTCAGTATACAGTAACTTAGACACCGAAGGTGATGACATTAACGTAATGCAAACAGCACTCTGTGAACATGCTACATATATCTCAACATTAACTGAAACAAGATGCATTACTTAATGTGTTCAGTTTATATGAATTCTATTGAATCAAATCTCAATATTTTGGGATACAGTGCAAATAATGTTAAAACAACAAAACCTTACTGCTTTTCTACGTGCTTGTTCAACGCTCTGCTAATTGAGAGAAATTCTTCAACCCAAATTGATGGTATACACATTTTATTCATCAATGTTAAAGTGATCAGTTAGATTCAGATTTAATACCAGGGGTTGATTAATAAGAGCTTCTTTCTACATTTTTGTTAAATGACATTTCCCAAGGCATACAAGATTTCAGCCATTTGACACACGGAACAGAATCTTTTTAAATGTCTACTGAATACTTTAAAAAAGAAAATGATCAGACTTCCTTCCATTTTGAAATATGATTTTATTTTATGTTCATAAAAGCCTGATAAAAATTTATTGTAACCATAGTACTTTTTGCACAATACACAAGTTAAACATTCCAGAAAATAGCGATTTTTTTAGTTGTTTGCCTTTGGGTTTTCTATGGAAAAAAAGTTCCCCCATATCTGAAAAATTTGGTTGGTTACAAAAATTGCAAAAAAAAGAAAAATTATATTTAGTTATGAGAAAAATGTACTTATGGTTGTCATGAATTACTAAGATGACAATTATGACAATTAACATTTAATTTTATCAAGTAATGTTTTAACTTATGTTACAAAAATTTTCTACAAGAAGTTATTTCATAATAGAAAAAAAAACAATAATTATAATTTTAAAATAAAAATGTGATTAATTTGCTCACAACTATTAATAATTTAGTTGGTTGAGTACCCATGATTGATTTAGATGTTAATATCAAATGCTATGAAATTAAACATTCGTTTGTTGATTTCAATTTTTTGATATTAGGCAGTGATCAAGGAATTTTTCCTTTTTTTCTTCTCAGCCATATTTTTATGATAAATTATAGTAAACTGCTGTAATTTTGATACTAGTAGACAATTTTTAGATTGTCATGAAAAATATCACTGGCTTTGCAACTGTGAAAGACTACACAATATTTTTTCTGGATTTTTACTCACATCCAAAGCCCATGTCAGATCAAAACAAGTTGAGAAAGGGAGTATTGTAAATTTCCTATATTCTGAGTAATAACAGCTGTTTAGGGAATAAACAGGAAATTACGAACATTCTCAATTTTTAAAAAAACATTTTCCCAAAGGTTTTCAAAAATGTGTTTTCATCCATGAAGTCAAAAAAAAAAAAAAAACTTCAGGAAAAAGTTTGGAGCTTTTATACCCACCAACACTGCCCCCTAGTGGCTAGCATACAGAACTCTATGACCTTTCACCTTCAGAATGTATAGGTCAGAGTTCACTTTAATCCATTGGCTTAAATTTTGACGGTCCAATTCTGATCACAAAGTACAATGTACAGAAAAGCTGCGTTGTTTCGCTTTCTCATTGCCTACGCACAGCATGACAATACCGCAAACATGACTAGTATGTTTTTACGCAGTGATCTCCAGACAGCAGGAATGACATAGCATAACAACATGTTACAAACACATAAAAAAAAAAGACATATACAGAAAACAAGAACGAGTCTTACCAGTCCATTACAATTACTGATCACTGCCCGTGAATTCGAGTGATTTTTAAGGATTCCGCTATAATGACATGAATCATAAGTTCGATGCTTTTGGTGAAGACTGCCATTGTTCCAGTACTCTACTTGAAAATTGTCAGACACAAAGTTTGATTGAATTTGAAGATCAAAGTGAAAATCTTTTTTGTACGCAGAAACTTTATAATACAATTGTTTATGAATGCCCATTTTTCTTTTAATGTTTCGTGCAATCCTTTTCCGACTGTTTATAAGGTCGTAAGGGATCTCCTCCCCATGCTGATCCACTCGTATCGGCACGGTTACCTCATAATCATCCAGCGAGTTGAGAAAATTTTCTGCAATAAATAGAAGTGGATGTTATTGTCAGACTCAGATGACTTTGTGGGATTTTTTTGTTCAAGTCAACATTTTGGGTTAGTGAGTGTGTGGTTGTGTGTGAGCATGGGGAAGGGGGAAGGGGAGGGGTATGCAAAAAGTGAAAAAAAAAGAAAAAAAAATTTGCTCAAAGTCTATTACTTTGAGTCCTTCCAGCATAATGAATGAATGAATGAATGAATGAATGAAAATTTATTTCACTATAAAACATATACACAGATAATAATGAATAATGATGGAGAGGGGGGGCTCTAATAATTATGAAAGTTTTATGAATTCAAATCAATGCACAACTGCACAGAAAATGAAGTATACAGTTGTTTTTTTAACATGCTTTCAGTCAAATGACATCAAAATCATCATTGCGGAAATAATTAGTACTAAACAGAATCAAACAATAAATATTCCCTAGATGACTCAGTGATGACAGTAAACAACTCCGCTGCTCAAGTTGTGAGTTCACACCAAAACGGACCAGTTTTCAGTTCAGTCAAATACAACTGTCAAGTTTTAATTTTTCACCCTCCCCCTCTCTAATAAATTTGGAGTTGTGTACACCAGACAAGGTGAAACGCAGCAAAAAAAAACAAAAAAAAAACAGAAAAACAAAACAAGACAAGAATGTCGAACAGTTACTAATTTGGTGTACAGTTTAGAAAACAATTTTATCTTAGTATCGTACATCTTCACAGTATTCTAATGGTAGAGAATGCAACTCATGAATTTGTTATTCACATGTGTGCATATACAAGTTAGAATTTTTTGTGTAAAAATCTGTTTACGAGTCAGTATTAGTCAACAGAATGTAAACTTATTTTGAATAAAAATGCTAAAATAATATGTAATTTCCATATAGGCCACAATGAAAATACAAAGCCCACTAAAATTTATGTATTTTTTTTTTTATAATTCTACACATATCTTTTTTTTTTTGCCATGTTACTGCCCAAAATGTTAAGATATATACTTGCCATAGGGAACAATAATAAAATACCCTAAAACAGACAACAAATTTTCACTGTTTGTTATCTTTTTATTTTATTGTTTGATTTTCTTCCAAATATTTTTAGTTTATTTTCTTTATTACAAGGGTAACACTGATTTATCAAATGTGTAAAATTAAAGAAAATTACAATATTTTTACCTTATATTGTAGAGCAGCCACTAAATAAAATAAAATCAGCATTTCTACTAATCCATAGAAATTGAAAAGTTTATTTTATACAAATGAGTAAGTTGACTCGAAAAAAAAATAAAAAAATAAAACAGTTTGTTGAAAAGGAAATTTTACGAAGTAACATTCTTCTGGAGAAAAACTAATCTTTTGATATGTTTTTTTTTTTTCCATTTAGTCATTCTGTGTAAAAATAAACAATATGAAGCTAGTTTAATTGGAAATGAATTGTTCAGCGAAATCTTACCTTGTGCTACGATTTGCATATTTTCGGTTGACTCGCTAAACGGTACCATACAGATACTAAGTTGCAAAACCAAGACACACCATAATGTACTAAGGCCCATCATTTAAATTACAACAAAAATATATTCGGCATGAGTCCGTCTCAGTTATCAAGTTCAAGGCGACATAAAGAAGGCTTCTTTCCGTGTGGGCGTGTACATCGATTATTGTAGTAGACTTGCCAACGCTGACTGTTCCTCCTCTACTATTAGTTGATTCATGATTGCGGCGAAGTGTTCCACGGTTTCAATTTGAGAGATTGTGCTTTCGTGTGAAGAAGAAAAAAAAAAGAACAATGAAAAACTATTGTTAGACAGTGGAATTCCTCGCTTAAAAATGCTGTAGACAAGCAATGAAACGTACAGTACAGCGACGACATGCCACTTGTACGTTTTAACTACTAGTACATACAACGTAAACAACATGATCGGACAATTCGTGTTAACGATCCACCAAGCTGAAAAACCAACCTCGAAAACATATCTTCCGCCAGGCTTTTCAGTTGCAAAATAAAAAAAAAAATATGCTTGGTGTCACTCAATGAAAAACTAGACAATGAGTACAAAACAGGCGGTGTCCAAAAGTCGACAGCTCAGCGCCAAAACGATCCTGACAGCGCTTACATCGAGTGTTGCTACCGATTGCATTGGGGGGGGGGGGGGAGATTGGCACGAGAGGGCGCCATCCGATCTGAATAGACGACTTTCCCGGGTGTGACGAGGCTGACCGGAAATGGGGTGTAAGTGAGTCGTCTGCAGTTCATATGCAGTAATATGGCGGTAAATACAAATGTTCGTCCGTCTGCGGGACTCCTTCTTGAATTTTCAAGTATTAAGAATTGAACAAAGGACATAAGAAATGTACCCGAGCTATCAATTGATGATGTCAAAAACTACCTGGTGAATTCTAATGACAAGTCTTTTGATAACAATGCTCTAAAAGCATACAAATCGTTACGTGCGTACAACTTGGGCATGTTCATAGCGTTGACTGTGCGATACTTGAACGGTATCAAACATGTGTTGTTCGCGGGAAATGTTTCCCTTCACAGTCAACCGACAAGGAGTATCAAATTTATTTATGTATCGATGTTCAGGAAGGAAAAATACATGGCGGAAAGTGTCAATGTGTGGCAGGGTGAGTACAATATTCGCTGCATATATAAACAGATGAGAGATAATTCTTTTCATGTCGTACAAATGCAGATTATTAGTTGCGTTCACGCACAGCTCCTTAGCACGGGCTAAGAGGTCAAATTCCTTAGCCCGTGCTAAGAAAACGTGCGTGAACGCTTAGCACGGGCTAAGGAATGCTAAGTACGGGTTAAATCTGATCCGAATTTAAGACGCGGTCTAGACCTTAGCACGGGCTAACGAAGTATGCGCGAACGCTTAGCCCAGGGCTAAGCGCCTTCTGCGGCGACCTTTGGGTGTAAAAATTGTCCCATGTTCGTATAACGACACTTTTGGCTTAACTTTATACAAAAATTACTAGTCATAACAGATCTAACTAATTCAGACCCACATCAGAATAATCTTTGTGATATTTTTAAAGAGAAGCTCAAATGTTTGTACCGTATGAAGTGGAAAAACAATTTGTTGAACAATTGTAAGCTTGACTTTTACAGGTGTGCTAAAGAAAATTTTGAATTTGAACATTATTTGGAAAAAATTAAAAATAAAAATCATAGAATAGCTTATACTAAATTTAGAACTTCTGCACATTTTCTTCCCATTGAATCCGGTAGACATAAAGGCATTTTGAAGGAAAACAGGCTATGTAATCTCCATGAATGCAATGAAGTAGGTGATGAGAAACATTACATTTTATATTGTAATAATTGTCAAATCAAAGAACAAAGATCTAGATTCCTTGCAGCTTTATACATCTATGCCCCAAAGCTGGAAGATTTTAGCATGGATGAATTATTTCCTATCATTGTTTCAAGTAATGATTTTTTCATTCTTAGCATTTTTGCAAAATTTATTTTCTATATTCTTGATATGTTTTAATACTGTAAGTTTTTGTTCTGAATATTTAGGGTTTCGAGCCCATTTGGTCGAAACCCTTTTGTAATTGTTCCGTTTATTATTATTATTATTATTATTAGGCTTTCAAGTCCCTTCAGGCTTGAAAGCCTATTGTTTTTGTTATGTTTATTATTATTATTATTATTATTATTATTATTATTATTATTATTATTATTATTATTCTTCCGCCAACTTCAAACGACTTCTTCTCTGAAACGGCTGGACCGTTTTGCCTGAAAATTTGTATATACCTTCTACATGTCATGCCATTAAAAGTGACTGAAACAGATTTTCGATTAGTCACGTGGTTCGGCCGCCATCTTGGAACTCATTAAATATGCATGTCCCTTGTATCTCAAAAACTATTGCATGTACAAACATGGAACTAGCGGTATATTGAAGGCAACTGACAAGAGAATTGGCCAAAATATTCGTTGA